TACAGTACCATTTAAAACAGCTCAAAAAGGAAATACTTTGGTGTAGATATAACAAAACATATAAAGCACTTGTACACTGAAAAGTACAAAGTTCAAATGAAAGGAATCACAGAAGATCTAAACAAAAGGAGAGACAAAACATGTTCATGGATTGGAAGACCCAACATAGTTGAGTGAAAGTGAAATACAGTTTAACACAATTTCTATCAATATCTTAATGATTTTTTTTGCAGACAGACAAGAAAATTTATATAGAAAAGTAATTGAAATAGCTAAAAATTACCTTGACAAAGGAGAATAAATTGGGAGAAATCCATCTACCCAAATGCAATCTATATAATCAAGATGGTGTGGTATTAACAAAGGGATAGAAACACCCATCAGTGGAACGGAGTAGAGAACTTGGAAATAATCTCACACTACTATATCCAATTGCTTTTTGACAAAGGTCCAAAAACAATTCAATGGAGGAAATGATGGCTTTTTCAAATAATGATGCTAGAACAATTGGACATCCACAGACAAAACAAGAAAAAAAACCTTGACATAAACTCACATGCAATACAACAATTAACCCAAAATTAATCACAAACTTAAATGTCAAATGTAAAACTTTTATTTTAAAAATAGAAATTCTATAGGATTCATGGCCGGGAACAAAGTTAGACTTGATTCCAAAAGCACTATCTATAAGAAAGAAGATTAAATGAATTAAAGATGTTTGCTCAGTGGAGAGGATCCAAAAGCAAAGTACAGAATGGAAAAAAATATATATTTGCAAACCACATCTATGACAAAGTACTAGAATCTAGAATATACAAAGGGCTTTCAAAATTAATCAGTTATCATTAGAAAATGGACAAAAGACACGAAAAGCCATTTCACTGTAGAAGACATACCACTGGCAATTAAACACATGAAAAATTGTTCAACGTCATCAAACATAGGGGAAATGTGCTCTAAAACTACAATATCACTTCACACCCATCTGAATAACTAAAATGAAAAAAAAAATAGAGACAACAGCAAATATCAGGAGGCATGCAGGAAAGCTGGGTAGCTCACACATTGCTGGTTGAAATGTAAAATAGCAGAACCACACTGGAAAACGATTTGGCCGTTTTTACAAAACAACGTGTTGCTCTCATGTAACCTGGCAATTGTACTCCTGGACATTCATCCTAGAAAAAAATGAAGATTTTTGATCACACAAAAGCCTGAACACAATTTTTTTTTTAAAGAGAGAGTGAGAGAGGAGAGAGAGGGAGAGAGAGAGAATTTTTAATATTTATTTTTTAGTTCTCGGCAGACACAACATCTTTGTTGGTATGTGGTGCTGAGGATCGAACCCGGGCCGCATGCATACTAGGCGAGCGCGCTACCGCTTGAGCCACATCCCCAGCCCTGAACACAAATTTTTATAAAAATTCTATTCATAATTACCTCAAACTGGAAACAGCTGTCTTCAGGGGGTAAAAGGTTAAATACCATGGAATACAGCAGTAAAAGGAATGAACTAGACACACACACACACACACACACACACACACACAACTGGAATCTCCACAGAATTAAGCTAAGTGGAAAAAAAGAGCAATTCCCAAGGTTGTGTATATATGCTTCCGTGTATATATGATTCCACGTATAAGGTTTGGATTCTACAATGACACCACTATAGGATTAGAGAACAAATCAGGGATGTAGGTGGGGAAAGCAAACAGGAGGGATCCTACGGTGAAGAAAAAGTTCTGCATCTTCTTTATATCAACATCAACATCTTAACGTGGGTATTATATTATAATTTTGCCAGATGTTATCACTGGGGGAAACTGGGTAAATGTTTGTACATGTCCTCTTTGTACTGTTTCATAGGGCTGCATGTGAGTCTACAATTAACTCAAAATTAAAAACACTTTTTTCCAAAAAAAAAAAAAAGCACATGCACAAAAATTAGGAACTCTTCCAATAACAAACCCTTCCAAGACATAGCATGTAGCCAAACTGAGGAAAGAGCAAAAGCATGCAGGGATTGGGCATCGTGAATTGCACTGGCTTGTTGTGAGTTGTGGTGGTGTCCTTTGTGTTCCAAATGTTAAACACTATTATTTAGGGTTATCATAAGGGACACACATAAGTTTATACTACTCTTATTATTTTTCTACTTACTAGTCATATATAAACTAATGTGAATCACAAAATGTGTTGATGAACATTCTATCAACACAAGAAATACTGTATTTTTTAATTTCCAAGTGGCTATACAGGCATAGTGTAGGTAAGCAATCATATTGGGAAAAAACTGAAATGAATACATGAACTGAAGCCAGAAATGGGATATATGAATGAAACTGGAAAACCATATTTGAAGGCAATTTGGCTAGCTGCTAACTATAGGATATAGCACATAACGCTGAGACAGAAGCATAAAAATTATCTAGACTTTTGTTAAAGTCTTATTAGGGGTAAGAAACACCTGAATGTGATAAAACTTTAGGATGTTATACAAAAAAAGAATTAGCAAAATTGCAATACAATTAAAGCCAAATTCCAAGCCTTTTTCCTCACCAAGCCTCCTACCTAATTATATGATGTGGTTGGAAGTAATGCCAAAGGCTTGTTTTAATTTTGCACGAACAATACTATCTCAGGGTCTGCTTCCATCAGAAACCGTTGACTTCTACTGCTCCGGCTATATCAACTAAAAAATAAATCCTTTGAGACCTCCACAGTTTCTGAAAATTTTCTTCTCCTAAGTCTCACATTTACTATAGGAAACTCTTCCAAAAGCTTACTAGATAATTAGTTTCACAAAATATTGCTTTGGCTGGAATATTCTGCCAACAGCCCCAACTTGCCTAAGAGTATCTGACATAAAGAACAGGTATTTCTCTTGCCATACTCTCATTATGAGATTATCTTAATAGAAGTTTAATTAATGGGAAGCAACACAATAAATAGGATCAGAAAAAGGCAAACACAATTCCTAGTCCTGCCTAACTCCTACATCGGTATATATGCATTTTTTCCCCTGCCTCACTAAAGTGATTAACGAGGTAGAAAGTCTTTCTGGCTTGGCTTCCCCTCTGGCTTCTGTCAAGGGTCTTCTGATGGGTCCCTCCTGGCTCTCACCTCCATGTATCTTCAATCCTTCTGGAACAGTCTTCCAACTGCTTTGCATTCCTGAGACAGCCCAGCCACATATGTACTCAGTTATGTGGGATTCTGAGAAATCTGTCCTTCCCAACATCTTAATGGAAGGTCAGATAGAAAAGTCTCCATTCTTTAATTTGTGTAATCCCAGGGGACACTTCCCCCATGGAAGGTCACTCCCATTCCTGTCTGCTCTTGAAGTCTCCCAGCTCCACCTTGGGCCTCTGGCTCCTCACTGTTGGTTCTCTGCTCAGATCTTCAGGGTATTTTCCTCTCCCTAGAACTCTGCTGCAGTCTATGACCTCGACAGAAGGTGACATTTCCCTCTACTGCCACATTCCTTCATTCATCCAGTCCATCTATAACGAGGTTGTGGGACTTGACTAAGGATTTGGAAATTAAAACTTTTAATATTAAAAATAACACTGAACATCCTGTTTCCAAAATCTATGGAAAAAAAAAAAGTTAAAGAGCAAGTTAAATCCATCATATAGACACACTTGGGTCTCCCAGGTCATAGTCTTGCTCCCTGGTCCCACCTTGGAGATAAAGAACATTCTTAAATCCTTCATGTTGTAAATCTCTACCTTCCTTTAGGACAATTATCTCCCTATTTAAGGGTGTTGGTCATGTCCTAAAATATAATCTCTCATTCCTTGATAAACCAATCCTGAGGCATGAGAGCTCACAATACTACCTCCCCCAGAGACTACTGAGTTCTTCAATCTGGGACCTTCAGCCATATTTCTGTCTGTCTGTCTGTCTGTCTGTCTGTCTGTCTGTCTCTCTCTCTCTCTCTCTCTCTCTCTCTGTCTCTCTAAGATGTCTTAGTAAGAGGGCAAACACCAAAATAAAGATGTGTACTTCACCAGAGCTATCTGTTTCTTCTCTGTTAAGTTGCCTTTTTTCGTGGCTAATCTGACAGCCCATTGGCTACACCTAGAATTAAGTTACAGGAACACTACTAGTAGAACTTCTTCTTTAAAACATCTCTGTTCAAAGCCATTCAGACTCATCTGGCAAAATTGTGTCTCTCACATTGTAAACCTGTTATAGTATAGAGATGAGGGATCCCTCATCTATCTCACGTATGAGGCAATACAATAATTTTCAGAGGTGAAATGATTAGATTATGAGAACTATTATCTAATTAATGGATTAATCCACTGATAGGGATTAAGTGGGCAGTAACCTTAGACTGTAGGGTGTGGCAGGAAGATGTAGGCCACTGAGGTTTATATTTGGTCTGTGGTGATAAGCTCTCTCCCTCTCTCTGTTTCCTGGTCGCCATGTTCTGGACTCCTTTCCTCTACCATTACCTTAAGCCATGAAGTTCTGCCTCCCCATAGGCCAGAGTAATGGAGTCCATGGACTGATCCTCTGAAACTGTGAGTCAAAATAAAATTTTCCTCTTTTAAAGCTGTTCCTGTTGTGTCTTTTGATCAAAGCGATGAGAAGTTGACAAAACCCCTCACTGTCTAACTCCACGTTGTCTAGGTCCCTTTATTGGTTCACAATTCTTGTCAGATTGTCCCTTTATTGTTCACAATTGCTTCTCATCCTCAGCTCATTTTGATTCCAATGAGTTTTTTAATCTCTCATTTCTTCCTCCACTTCACAGCATTTTATTTTCCAATGTCCTCTTCTCCTGTCCTTTCTTTATTTCACACCTGCACTTTTTATTTTTTCCAGACACCTGACCTCTTTCTAGACTAGCTTCTCACTTCTTACTTGGCAAACCAGCCCCTTTAACTATGAAAACTCAGGGAAATTTTTTAACAACCCCTGTTCCAGACACTAATGACCCAATCACTATTGCTATCAGGACACATCTCCACAGAGACCAAGACTGAAAACAAACATTCTTATTTGATCAGGAACTTGATTATTATGTTGCAAGAGCATAATAAATACATTACTTCAGTACTCGGTGAATAAGAAATGTGCTCCAGCTGCATCATCAGTTAAACAGCTGTTGTAGGCCAGCCCAAGAATCTAACCACCATTTATAGAACTATCTGTTTGGGAAAATGAGGCCTCCATTCTACATGACCACAAATGAACTTTTGGAATGTGACTTGTTCACACCTGGCATCTGTAGACATTGCTATAAGTTCCCACCCATGTGCAGGCTTCAGAGAGTAGCAGCTTTTCTGTTTCAAAGACCCTGGACACATCCAGAAGAAACACATTACTACAAACTGGAGGAAGCCCATTGACTGTTGATAATCACAACAAGACATTTATGTCCTGAACATTTACAGTTTTTTTAATCACATTTAAATCTTAAAACCCATCCTTAAGATTTTTAGAGCAAAATAGCATATATAGCATTTGGGCAAAGATCAAACCACTTAGAGACAGGAGTCCAAGCTTGAGGTCTGGCTCTGCTGTTATTAGATATGTACTTGGCCCAGCCACTCAATATCTCTGAGCCTTAGCTTTCCTAACAGGAAGACAATATAGTAACAGCAACAGCACTATCCACCCTATCGGATTTTAAGACTTTTCAGTAAGGCACAAGACACACTGGGAGTCAGGGTGGAGCTGCTGAAATAGGACAGTCCAAAGTGACAACAGAAGTTCAGACAAGGAAGTCAGGCATGGCACCAAGGTCACTGAGCAAGGTTAGAGGACAGAAGTAGCAGGATGGCCTCACTCGTGGTCAGGGATGGTTAACAAAATCGAGTGAGTGCTATCTGGAATCCCAGTATTTCATGGAGGTCCATGCCAGGACCTCCACCCAGGCTTTATACCTTGGGAAGAGCAGTAAAAATTGCAAGGAAATAGACTAGATACCCAGAATGGAAAGTCAAGGGAAGACCAGTTCTGTGAAATGAGGGGTCAGAGGACACTTGGAAACTTAGATGGCAAATGTCAGGGATGCAATAGGTTAGTTAAACTGTAATTCAAGACAAAGGATTCTAGTAATCATTCCTGAGATCCCGTGTCTTAGTAGTAAAAGAAACTTGGGCCATGACATTGACACTCACACATTGTTAGAATAAGATACCGATTACAGGACTGAACGTAGAGTCAGCAGAGGATGGTTTTGGGGGAAAAAAATTCTGAAGTACTTGAGGTGGGCCCATCAGTTAACCCAGTTGACTAGGACTCTTGCTTGACTGGGCGCTCAACTCCTACAACAGGTGATTGTTTCACTGCCTCGTGGCCATGGGCCTCTTCTTTGCTCCTACCAGTTGCTCTGTAAATCCTGGATGCCAGGGCACCAGGGTCATGGGATGAATTGTCAACATAGCAGGTGCTCAACAAGGGTTGGATGAATGGATGGAGAGATTGAACAAGTGTTCCTTTGTGTGCAAAGAGAAGTCATGGAACATAAAGGGCAGTGTCTCATCCTTTGCAATTTAGCCAGCAGATCCTCTTAGTCCTCACTCTCTGAACTTTGAAAGCCAGAAGGCAACTCTCTGAGTGCCAGTTAAATACCCTGTACGAAAAAGAAAAACAAGCTGAAAAGAACTCAATGAAAGACAAGAAACCGGTCATCAACATAAACCCAGGATTCCTCTTCCAGGCCTGTCAAAATCAGTATTCAACAACTGTTTTAGGCAGGAGAGTTAATGACTTCATTAATACTTTAATACATAAATACATATTTGAAATGGACTGACTCATCAATCCTGGCATACCTCCTTCACAATGCACCAAAGCAGAGTACTATAGGGTGGAATCCAAGGTGCTGTGCTCTGGCTTCCTGGTGCTTATGAGAGGAATGTGGACTTGGCTGATGAGGTCTGCCCTTCAAGGTGCTTATGTGAGGACCCCACCGGTATCAGAGAGAACTGTGCTCCCCCAGCACTCATTCCCAGCAAAGGGCCCTTCACATTTCCTAATTAGGTTATATTCAGTGTGCAGAGGGCTGGTGATGGATGAGATACTGAAGTGTAATCACAACTGATATTATTCACGTCCCAGGAATGTGCAGCCGAGGCTGCCCTGCTAGCTCCAGCAGAAAACAATGATGTGGTTGACAAGTTGCCTTTTTACATTTCGAATTCTGTTCCAGATGTATTCTTTCTGCTTGGCTATGAATGCAGAACAGGTATCTAGAGAGAAGAAATAAACAGGCTCTCAAGTCCAACTCCTGGTTGTGTGACGCTCCCTAAGTCATATTCAGACTGGCTTGACCTGCCTGTTAGAATATCCGGAAATGGGGCCAAATGGAGCAGCCTCTCACCTGCCTTGAGATGTTTGGTTGCCTAGAGGCCCAAGGAACCACAGAAAGGGTAATTGTCTTAATCAACAGGTGTTTTGCCAGACATTGTGCTCGAATAAATGATGAAGATAAGCTGCCTCTTTTGAAATGATTTGCAAGCAGGTGAAAAATCCAGACAAAACATGCCAGCAACTAACACACAGGACAGAGAGGACTCGGTACTATGATGGGGGATAAACAAAATCTTAATGACTCACCAGAGGAGGGGATGATTAACTCTGACTAAGGGGAGGAAGACTACTGAGTAAGAATATATGAAGGAAGGGTGCACATTCCAGGAAATAATAAATGGGACAGAGCCATGGACAAGGAGCTATAATAGCACAGAGGATGGGGAAGAGCCCAGTGGACAGGAGCATGTCATAGAGGAGGTGATGCTTTGCTGAACTGGGAAGGCTATGGAGAGGCAGGAGGAAGGGCATTTCTAGAAAATGGGCACCCTGAACACACCCAGGTGAAAGAATGTGGCAGTTTGGGATACCACCCACATAACTCACTGTGTTTGCAACCTGTAGATGAGTCTGGAAAAGTAGGCAGAGCCAAGGCAAAACAGAATTTTTTTTAAGCCAAATAAGTACTTTGTATTTTATCCTGATGGCTGTAAGAAGCCACACAAGGTGGTCCATCTAGTTGGCTTGGTGACTAACTGGGCCTGAGGGGAGAGTGTAGATGAAGGATCCAGGTGATACATGATGAGAGCTTCAACCAAAGGTATAATTAGATGTAACTCACAAATAGCCTCATGGGATCCCATAGGTTTCATGAGGCAAGAAGAGAAAATGAAATAATTCTCTTATCTACTCAGAAATATTATTTTTCAATGAGCACTCTCCCCTTGTTGGATTATTTATGCAAGTTACCTCCTCTTTTCAAAGGAGAGATCTGTGTCTAACTCACCTTTGTGTTGTGCAGTGTTTAGCACAATCCTTATGTATATCAACCACTCTGTAAATATTGGTTGAATAAATAGAAAATACAAAATTTATATGTGTTAAGGACAAGAGGTGCCAGGGTCAGTATTTAAACCAAGAAAAAGCCCTGCAATTCCCTCCTTTGCAAAGAGGTTACTTTTTCTGTCATCGCACACATCCAACAGCCACTTGGGGCCCACCAGAGACTTTTAGAGGCTTCAAAGTATCCCTCTCCCTATGCCATGATGGGCATAAAAGTCCACATAATTTCTAAAGACTCCAAAGTAGACTGCCAGACATTTGAAAATGATCTGAATTTATGAGTCACCCGTCCACCAGGATAACACCGCCAGGGCCAGGGTGAACAGGAGAACCTTATCAAGGGTTCAAGACACTCACCTATTTAACAACACCTAAGAGTTCAGATTGACCAGGATTCCCTAAAACCTTCCATTTCCAAATATGTTCTACAGCCAGAAGTGTCTTGTATACTAACTTCTTTGATGGAAAAATAGCCACAAAAATGACTTGAAATTCTCCTACATGTGAGATTTGTCTATTGTTGCCCATTTATTTATTTATTTATTTATTTATTTATTCATTCATTCAATCATTTCTTTATTAGTATGGACACAAGGACACTTATTTTATGCTCTGTTATAACTCAATTCTACTTTATTTTAATTCTCAAATTGGTTCTAGTTTTAACCATCAAGAGTTAATTCAGTTGGCTCCCATAGTTCTGACATTGTAGGGTTTGGGTTTCTAGAACTACAAGATGCACCAGGTCATCTTGTATAGCTTCCCCCTCTTCCCTCCAGAATCAGTTGTTTCTACAAGGATCTCTGGTACTTTTATTGAAGAATAGTATTAGGTACCAAGACATGGGTGTGCTCTTTGTCACTGGGGTGCTATGGCTTCTAGACACCCTCACTCAACTGGCAGAGAGAGAATATATATATATAATTTTATATATTAATATATGCTATATATAATATATGCTACATATAAATATATTGTATATATAATATACAAATACATTATATATAAATATATGTTATATATAATCTCATGTTATATCTCATGATTTTATATATATATGTATAATCATGTATCTACATGTAGATCTATAAATATTTCTATATGTAAATATCTATCTATATTGGAGGTAAATATGAGTTGATACTGACATCTTCAGCTCCAATCTAGTTCCTCATAGATAATTCTAGTCTTCCCCTTTGCTCATCTGTATCCTCTCCCTCTTGCAATGGAGCCTGGATCTCACCATCAACCGTCCATTTTCTTAATGATTCAATCCCAATGTACTGTATATCTTCCAGAATTGTAACTCATAATGTTATAGACAATAACTTGGTAACTTGGAGCGCCTTTAATCTTACACACTTCATTCACTTCCAAATTTACGGAGGCTAGCATTTTTTTCCATCCCTGTTCTGTGAGGTTGTTTCATGCATTTGTAACACAGTTAGATTCTTTTGTCATATTTTATATTCCATCCTGAGGTCCTCAAACCTCCGAAATGGTTTTAAAATTTTGCATAACTAAGGTTCTTTCTTTGTTTTCTCATGTTCTATGGGCTTTGACAAGTACAGAGTGTCATGTATCCACCTTAATGCAATATCATAAAGAAGAGTTTCAACACTCTAAAAAAATTTCCTAGTGGTTTACCTATTAAAAACTGCTGCTTTTTCTACAAGCCTTTGGAAATTACTGATCTACTTACTATGTCTTTAAAATAGAGTTTTGCCTTTTTTAGAATGTCAGATACGTGGAGTTACATATTAGGAAACCTTTTAAGACTGGCTTCTTTCACTTAACAGGATGCATTTAAGATTCATAGCTTCATGCACGTCAGTGTGATTTGATAGCTCGCTCCATTGTATGGACGTACCAAAGTCTGCTTAATAATTCACCTACTGATTTGATTCTGGGTTTTGGTAATTATGAACAAAATCATTACAAACATTCTGATGCCAGTTTTTTCATAAGCATATAGTCTCAACTCAGTTGGATAAATACTTAGGAATGTGATTGGTGGGTTCTATGGTAAGACTGTGTTTAACTTTGTAAGAAACTGCCTATCTGTTTTCCAAAGTCGCTGTTAACATTTTGAATTCACACCAGCAATGAATGAGAGTTTCTTTTGTTCCATAAAGTTCTGTCAATTCTTGTCAGCAAATGGTACTGTTAGAGCTTGTTGTTGTTGTTGTTTTGTATTTTGGCCATTTTAATCAGTGTGTAATAATGCCTCTATTGTTGTTTGACCACTTTTTTAAATAATCAAAGTCTGTCAGGAGTGGGCAGTAAAATTGAAAAGAGATCTGGGTCACTGCATAAATCACTAAAACAGTTAAAAGTAGCTCAGACTACAGGAAAAGAAGTGGTACTCTTTGGGATCCTATTAGGAATGGGATACAGAAACCATCAATTTGTTTCCTCCATATGAATTTAGTTCCTATGTTCCTCATCCTCAAATAAGAGAACAAAAAAGATGTGTGAGCTAATACTTAACACTTAATATAATACTTTATGTAAAAGAAATGTGTATATGGGTGAGAGATACAGAAAATAACTTCTCAAAACACAGGAGAATATAATTTCCAAATGAAAAAAACATGCTCAATAAGAGAAGAGAGGGCTGCCATCTGAGTAGACGGGACAATCATAAAAACCCTGATGGCTCCTTTTTGTAAGCGAACCAAGGATTTGTTTAGATCCAATATGGTAAGACACACAGCCACTCATAAAAAAAGATGATGACAAAAGAAGAAGCTTGTATATATACAGATCCCTAAAAACAGGTGGCAGGGCATACCCTTAGGGCCACTTGGGGAAGCACTAAGGTTAGGGAGCAGAAAGAGTATGGGGAAATGTGGGCAAGAGCCTTTGTTGCTGTTTTCATAGGAAAATTAAGGCAAGATAGGATAAATAAGTTTAGGATTGGCTAGTTTGAATAAATTCAGCAAGCTCAGGGGTAGGGTTGTCTCCAGTCCGGTGGTATCTGGCCCTGGTCTGATAAAGGTGTGGTAGAGGTGTGAACTTTGGCTTGGTTGGTTTGCATCTACCAAAGCAGACTCCTAGACAAGTTCCCGGTCTCTAGGAATTTGCTAACCCTGAGGAAAACTTGCATGATGTTAGAGTATTTGAATAAAATATATGCTTAAGACACTCCTTCTTGCTTAGATTTTATTGTTAGGTCTGTTTTTACTGGAACTGCCTGAGGCTGCTTGATCTTCCTGGTTCCTGAGGACTGAGCTGTGTGGAAGCCTCCCCAGATTCTTGGGGCAATATTTCCTCCTTCAAGTTCTAGAAAGGTGTGGTCACTTTTAATATTAATAGTGCCTGTTCACCTGTTTTGTACTTCATGCTTTGCAAAGCATGTCAATGCATCTGTTGTATGACTCAGTGTGACCTCTCTGGAGGTGGAAGATTTGTCCAGTACTTTTACTGCCATTTACCAATTTCTCAAATCTCTCAGTTTACTAGAGAATCCAAATATTTACAGATCCCTTATCCATCTATCACCCTGTATCTGTGTTCTGTTTCCCTGTTTCTTTTCTCAGCTTCACGTGCTGTCTTTTCTTCTTAGCTGCTCCTGATGCTTCCTTCAACCAACACACATTTGTTGCACAGTCTCAGTAATAGGAACTATGCCAGGTCCAAGGGACACAGAGATGAATAAGGCAATCTCTGTGTGATAGGAAAAAATAGATATGAACATATGTTTTGAGTTCTGATAATGTAGCAGTTATATACATCTTTATATCACTCTCAAAGTGAATTTTATAAGACTCACCATTCTTATAGATTGAAAGTAAGGTTTAGAGAGCTTAAATCATGAACCAACGTTGCATGGCTAGCCAATGGACAGCTGACTGGCTCCAGAATATGTGGGTATGAATTTTTCTGGGTGCCCTGACCTTTCCATAGACATAAGTCAGAACACTTTCCCTTCCTAATCTTTGAGCTGATGAGTTTTTTTTTCAAATAGAAGTGACATTATTTTGAAGAAAAACAAAAAATCAAAACTACTTGCTCTCTGCTCTAAGAACCTATACTACAAACAACTAGATGATCTTAAGAAAATTACTGATAGCTCTCAATTACTATAACAAAATACCCAAAATAATTAATAGGAAAAAAAAGGTTTATTACCTCATTGTTCTGGAGGTTCCAGTCCAAGATAGGATAGACCCATGGATTTGAACTTGGGTGGGAATGCTGGATGGTAATGGCAGGGAGTTCATGGTAGATCAAACTGCTCACTTCATGGCCAGGAATAAAGAGAAACAGGAAGGGGCCAGGGTCCCATAATCTCTGTGGAGGGCATGCCCCAGTGACCTGAAGACCTCCCCCAAAAGGCTTACCTCCTAAAGATCCAAAGCTGCTCCCACTAGACCAAGCTGAGGGCCAAGCGTCTAACACATGGACCTGTGGGTGACATTTAACATCCAAACTTCAGAACTCACTAACTTTCTTTTGGCCTTAGTTTTCTCTGATGTAAAGCGAGAAGGCAGGACTAGATGACCTCTAAGATATCATTAAGCTCTGATGATGGCAATCAGATGTATCTGCATCTGTACCTCTATTCTGGAGACCCATTTTGCTTTGAAGTTGAGAGATACAGACAGAAAACCAAGGAAGACATAGTACTCACCTCATATGAGAAACACCTCAAAATCTTCCTACCTGTTGTTTCCTCGTAATATGTTATCTTTCAGCATTGCAAACTCAGTGCACCAAAACCATTGTATCATGGCACCAGGAGTAAACAGAAAGCCAACATCTTTTAAAGAAGACCAACTTTCATTAACCTGAAATTATGCGCTGCGCAATACAAACACCTACTCTGACCAAGCCACCTCCTCCAAAGCTGCCTGAACTCAAGAGAGCAATCCTAGGGGCCCAACCCATCCTGGCACCTTCATGACTCCCTGGAAGTCCACCATCAAGATGCCAGCAGAGATGGTTTCTCTGAGTCCTCTCTTCCTGCCTTATAGATAGCCAACATCTTACTGGGTTTTCACGTGACCCTGCACAGAGTGTCCTGCACAGGCACTCTGGTGTCTCATGGTGTGTCCAAATTTCCTCTTCTTATAAGGACAGCAGTTAGATTGGACTCAAGTTTGTTTACAGGATCTCATTTAATGTTAATTACCTCTTTAAAGACTCTGTCACCAAATGCAGTCATTATGAAGTTAGAACTTCAACATATGAATTTGAGATGGGGGAGCACAGTAATAATAAGGTTGAAATCCTATCTATACTTCTAAGTCCTCCTCAAATACATTTTTCCTTCCAGAACTCTGAAGTTTAACTAGTTGTAATCTCTTCTTCCTTATAATCCCACCACTTAACTAAGGACCTAAGAGAGAGTAAGCTCCGTAAATGTCTACTAAACAATGTCTTGTTTTATGAGCAATGTCTTTTATATCTCTAAATGGCATGTAGCTTAGTGCCTTAGTGTGGGAGGCTGCACATATGTAGCAACAGGAAATATTTGGAAACTATTCTTACTGCTCTATTTTGCTGTGAGCCTAAAATTGACTCCCCCGAATGAAAAATTTTTAAAAGGGAAAATCAACAAACATACTTTTTAATTGAGTTGGATGCTTTGCACAACCCTCACATTTTTAAGAAATTTGGGTCTGACTTCCACCTTTGGGTTTTTCATAAGCCCTCCTTTCTTTTATAGCTACCTAGGTCACTAGGCCGATAAGATATGACAGAGCAATTAAGGACAAGAATGGTGTCTGAGACACAGACTTCCTCCATCATAATTCTAATATATGCAGATTTCAGGACAGCATGAACCTGAGAATCGGAAGCCATCTTCCCAGTATGTGTGAAGCTTATTAACTGTACGCCATGGTGACATCATGAGTAGCCAGAAGAGCTGCGCAGAGTAGCTACACAAAGGGAGGAGGTTCCAGTCTATTGACGCTGTGGGTCTGGAGCCTATCCTCTTTCCAAATCTGACTTTCTTGGAAGCAAACACAGTGTTCTTTGAGGATGGCACTGTCCACCCATCATTGCAATGATTGGAATGTGTGCTTCCGCGGTCCAATGCTAAAAAAAGAGATGTTAGGATCCTCTACTAGTGCTGCTGCTGACAAAAGAAAAGTATCCAAGGAAGCCAGCCTTGTGAGCTGAGACAGGGAAGGCAGGAAGTCACTTGTAGTGAGATAGAGAGGAGCATGGAAGAAGAGGCCAGAAATGGATCTCGAATCCTTCACCACTGTGCTTGGAACCCATGTAGGCCATGAAACTAATCAAGTCCTGAATCCTTGCAGACACACTCCATGTTGGCCATTTATCGCATGTGAAGATCTGGATCACGTAGCGATGCACTCAGATGACATGCCCCAGCCCCGTACAACGAAAAGTCTATTATCCCATGTTAATCAGGTCATCCTGATCACTCTAACTAAATTTCATCTCTCCACTTGTCGATCATCTCAATGTGGTTTCAACTGTGTTTCTTGGAGTCTGTCTTGGTCTGTTTGGTCTGCTATAGCAAAAACATTGCTCCACAAATTTGGTGATTTAATCAACAAACATTTATTTCTCGCAGTCTTAAAGAATTTGGAGAAATAAATTCTGAAGAATATTGGCTGAGAAGTCCAGTATTAAGGCTAACAGCAGTGACTGGCAAAGGCCCGCTCCTGGTTCATCGAGCAGAAGGTTCTCACAGGGCAGAAGGAGCAACTCTCATGACCCATTGATGAGGGCACTAATCCTTATCACCAGGGCTCCAGCCTCATGACCTCATCACCTCTCAAAGGTCTGAGCTTCTTATACACTTAATACCTAGGGGGTTAGGATATTCAAAATATTAATTTGGGAGAAACACAAATATTCAGCTCATAACAGAGCCCAGAGAATCAGAAAGGAGTTTCAAGAACCCTCTAGTGAAAGGTGCTAAGAGAGAAGGTCTCTCCACTGGAGATCAACCAGAGCAGCTGCACTTTTGCTTATAATATATATCTCAATTTTAAAGGGAAAAAGCCTTCAAAACCATTAATGCACAACAAAACATCAGTATTAGTGGGCCATAGATCTCAAATGATCCATATAGTTCCAAATTCAATACACAATGTCCCATTGTCAGATAACATATCAGAATATGTGTCACCACTTGGCATTTGGAACATAAGAAGTTGATGACATTTATCACATACCGCCCTGCATTAAAAGTATTTGAGTGCTTGTTTTATCATCTCTACAAATTTAAATAGCTTATGTGGAGGAAGTGTATTCACCTTTGTGTCCTTTAGAATACCTGTCACAGTGCCTTACAGTCTGGCGTTTAGCAAATACAAGTTGAATGACAGTAAGAATGTTGGTCATGTTCACTAGCAAGCAGATTTAGCCAGTAAATCACAACGGTTACAATATAATGGAACAAACTTGCAAGATTCTTATCTCTGCTTTCTAGACAGATCACAATTAGAAAAAAATTAAAGATAAGACTTTAAAAGCCATAAAGAAGGTCCTAGGCCACTCTTAGGAACAAAGATTTTAATATCGGGCCACAGAGGAAACCAACTACCTTCGAAGCAGCTCAGCATTCATTTCTTAAGTCTCACAGCATTTCTGGGCTAAGATGTAAAACACAGACTTTCCAAATGCTGACTCTCATATACAGCCCAATTTAAATGACATATCCTGACTCAGACTAGCCAGGAGCACCAAGATGTCCCTGGAAGGTTTTGCTTTAGGCTTTTGAGAACAGTTTCCACATTCAGTCAAGCGGGGTTGGAGAGATGAGAGAAACATAGGGCAGCCCAAGGACAGTGCCAGCAAGTTAGCCCAATTCCTTGGCACAAAGTAGGTACCCAATAAATGGTTGTTGAATGTGAGACATGAGTCCTTCTTCTGCTCCAGCCTGTCCAGTCAGTGGCTAGGTAGCACAAAGCATTGTCAAGGCCTCAAACTCTATCTGTTGTCATCCTTCTTGAGGAAAACACTGCAACGATTGTTTCTAGAGAGTTGATGACCAGGCAAAAATCTAGCAGAGTGGCTTCAAGCAACCACTCGGGAGAGCCACACTCGAGAGCCCAGCACATCAGCAAGGTGAGCTACAGCAAAGGATCCTGGCCCTGAACAAAAGCCACCAAGGGCCTAAAAGGAGGTGTAGGCCATGTATCAGACATGGCCCATATCTTTGGTGTGTGTGTGTGTGTGTGTGTGTGTGTGTGTGTGTGTGTGTGTGTGTTTTATAAATGCAAGGAAAGTCCTGGGTGTCCCCTATTGTGGATTTCCTGCTTTTCTTCATGGAAGTCCAAATTAAGTCACCTGTAATTAGTCCTTTGTGCACAGGGACTTCTCACACTGGGTATCAAGAAAGGTGACTCTGGTGGCAGAGAGACCATGGGGCATCAAGTACCCTAAGGTGTAAGGGTGAGTTTGATGTGGATGTCAGGGGAAGGCTGATGGGCATGTGTTCATCTGTGCATGTGTGTGAAAGCCTTTGGGGAGGGCAGAAGAAACGAGGGCAGGAGTATCATGGCAGACTTTTCTTTTCCCCTCTCTCTTCTTTATTTTGTTTCTCACTAACCCAGAACATGAACTGAAATAATCATATCTTCCTTCTCACCTCAAAATCACTGTCATGGCTTTATTACCTTCATTTGTCAGGTACCAAATAGGGTGAACAAAGAATTCTGACAATATCACAGTCAGGATTTGCCCCCAGGTATACAAATTAAGCGGGCTCAGAGAAGGAATTAGTGGGGATTGAAATGTAAATAAAATAAACTATCATTATCCATATGATTTTTGGATGATTTACAGACCTTTCTCTAGTTAATTTATCAAAGCATTGTTTTATGCAACAAATACCTGTACTAAGCATTAGGGATTCATTCATTCATTCAACAAGTATTTAAATCCCTGTTAAGGAGCCTGGAGTTGTAGCTCAGCGGAAGAGCGCTTGCTTAGCGTGAGTGAGGCATTGATTTTGATTCTCAGCAACACATATAAATAAATAAATTAAAAGTCCATTAACAACTAAAAAATATTTTTTAAAAAAATTCCTGTTATGTGCCAAGCACTGTTCAAGAGGTTGGGATATAGGAGTGCACAAAATAGACAAGATTTCTATCCTACAGAGCTTATATTCCAGTGGTGTGGGGCAAGGGTAAAAATAAATAAATATGCAATCAATATGTCAGGTAGTAAGTGCTGTGAATAAAGAGAGCAAAGTGATAAGAAGTATCATGGGTGATCCCTTACATGGGATGGCTTAGGTGGTCTCTAGAGAGCCAACACTCAAGTAGAAACCTGAAGAAAGCTCAGGGGGAGATGTACAGGTATCTGGAGAAAGAGTATAAGAATGAATCAATTCCACTTCAGTAAGCTGTGAGCAGGAAAATGACTCATTATACACAAAGGCCTTCTACGTTGCCTCATAGCCCATCTGGAAAGAAGAAAAGTATAATTCAACAATAAGTGCTTTACTTACTCAATATGAACAAGACGACCTAATATGAGGATGAAATGAGATAAATGTGAAGGATTTTTAAAAGCATGGCAGGCTATATAAACTCAGGTAATTCTATTTATTAGTCACTGATCTCTATTAGCAATCAGATCATGTATGCGTTGATATTTGAAGACCTTATCCACAAATTAAATTGGTGCTGGCCTGGGTTGAAGAGCTAATATGAATGCCAAAAATGTCCTAGGATTTGGTGATTACGGTGAGTGACTCTGACCTGCTCAGAACTACATGCTAGACTGAGTCTGCAAGCAAACATAGTCTTATAGTACACTATTTCCTGCTGCATTTGATTAGGTGAAACTCAAATCTCCTAACCAGGATGTGATTTGAACTTCTTTATTTATAAGGAAATCACTGGTTAGAAAATTCCTTAGACTTTGGCAACTAATCAGCCAAATTAGCACAGGTTAACATATTTTCTCTATGGGCGAAATTCTAATTGGATACCAAGGAGAGGAGGGTCCTACTTAAATTTCACTTAAAAGTTTCAACAAGGCGGGATGTAGTTCATTGGTAGAGCATGTGCCTAGCATGTGCAAGGCCCTGAGTTCCATCCACAACCCTGGGAAAAAAGTTATAATCTTCCAGCTTCTCTTACATTTTTTCTTAAATCTAACTCAGAGGATAATGGAGAACATACACATGCAAGTTCAGCCCGAATGTGGCATTTTGGAGGAAAACCCCAGCTGAGCACACACGAGTATGTTTCAGCTTTGCCAGAAGAAAAATAGTTATGCATTATACATAGACTATAAAGACATTTTTTGTAAGCCTTACTTTAAAATGTTTGAATTTTAGAACTTAAAATGTTCCATGTGTTTTATATTTCTTCTTCAGTTAGATTAAAGAGAAGTGATTGAAATTTCAGCCTCAGCATACATGTGGTGTATCCTAGGAATGTTTAATATAATATTACTCTGTAGCTATGGAGTTTGTAAACAAGGCTTTTACACTCATTGCTTATGGTAGTTAAGGGTTTATTTATTTAATAACTATTTGAGTACCTACTATGTGCTCAGGCCCTGTTTTAGGTACAGAAGCTCTAACAGCACATCAAGTCCACACATTATGGAACACAGGACAGAACTGAGTCTATAAATAAATATGATGCCACGGTCAGGTCATGAAGAAATTATTCCTCCTGCTTTATTCAGGGAAAGGGAATGTGGGTAGGGCTGCTGCTATAGGGAAGGGAAAGCCATTCCTTTGCAATCTCATTGAATAAAGATCTTAATGACTGAGAAGAGAGGTTTGGGTGATTTGGGGAAGTGCCCCAGCAGATAGATTGAGTATGGAACCACTTGAAGGCCAATGTGGTCAGGGCTGAGTTAGCAAGAAGAGAAAGTAATGGGAAATGAGGTCTTACATAAAACCCCATATCACAGGGTTCTTTCTCATCCCCCAAAATGAAATGACCACTGCTCTACTACAGTCTGGCTTCGTTTTTTGAAAGTTCAAGAGATGATAATGAATTGCAAGGTGAATCTGCTGTGGAATTACAATTTCCTTGTTAAATTTCACATTAACCCGCATAAAAATGGATACGTGGGTGTACCCTTTTCTCTTCTAGGCCGTTCACCTATGCATTCCACCTGCCTGAAATACCCTCCACTACTCCTCTCCCTACCCAATTGTTCTCATGTCTCAAGGCTCACTTAAAGTTGTTTCCTCTAAGAATCCTCCCCTGACTTCTCTGACTACAGTTGAGTGACTCTCCTTGTTTTGTTACTGGAGATCTAACGTAGGACTTCCTTGCCCTTAATAGATAGGTCTTCAGGGGAAGGCTAAAATTGTTTGAGAAAGCTTCTGTGTAATTGTTGGTTTTCCCAGAAGGGGGTTCATGAATCCTGTGAGCTTTTAAAATGAGTTTGTGCATTAAGAGGTAGAGACCCCTACTCATGGTCAGTGCTTCTTGAACATTAAATGGCATGCAAACCATTTACAGCTCATTAAAATGAAGATTCCAATGGAGCAGGCATCTGGTGGACTTGGTATGGTTGGTCTCTGCACCACACTTGGTAACAAGTGGCTAAAGTCGAGTCAGTACTTGCTTGTATACAGCCACTAGTTGCTCTCCACCCTGCAAGTGGATTGCTTTCTGGATATTAAGGACACTGCCAATACTCCTTGGCTCCTCTCCTGAATTAGACTAATAGTAAAATAGTCCACTATTGGGCCTGACAGGTGTTCTACAAGTGTTAGTCTCAGGTTTCTAAGGTTACCACCAATTTTTTTCAAGGCTAACCTTTTCCAAAATTCAGAGCAGAAATCTTAGAATCACTAAAATCTTCCTGAAGCAAAACTTTCCTCTCATCTAGTAGTAGAGCCCCTAACATACGAAATCTAAATCCATCAAACCTAAAAGCCCTCTAAGCTGTACAGGAAATCCACTAATTTGTAAGACCAATTCACTATATGAGGGCATGTTTTCTCACAGAAGATGTTCAGTACAAATAAATAATTAGGCATCCATCAAAGAAGCCAGACCCACCAGTACCACCAGGCCCTTGAAGGGGTAGGTTCTGAGTAAATTAGAGTCTAGAAGTGAAGTTTCATTAAAAACAAAACAAACTCTCTAGAATGGTGTGGAAGAGTGAAAATAGGGTTTCAGGGGAAAAAATGCAACACCTGGACTCTACATGTTTGCAGAAACTGTAAAAAAGTTATTTATCTAGCCCTATGGAAATATAGTGCTTTTATCAGCAGCTAACAATACAGCAAATGAAAAAAATTCACACAAGACCTATGTGTAAGGAATGCTTGTGTGTATAAAGAAATTTTTCACTTAGAATTATATATATGTATATACATATACGCATACATATTTGTACTTTTAAAAATACCATATGTAACGAAAGCTATACATAAATATTTACAAAAATACCTTTATCTAAGTAGGCCTGTAACATTTAATATTTTTCAATAAATTCATATGTAAAACATATACAACAGTGCCAAATGGAACATATATTTTGAAATAGGATCACTATGTAAAACTCAGGAATCTGGAATAGAACACAGGTAACTGCCAAAGGAAACTTCGAGCCCTTGTCATTTGAAGAAAGGAAACAATGCCAGGTCTCTTATCTACAGGGACTGTTTTGCTTGTTAAATTTCTAACATCACTTCAGCAGAGTTTTGTATTTGACTTCAGGCCTCATGGCCATTTGACCCGCCAACTATTATTTTCTTTGAGGCTTTTAACACTCCACCCAAGTATTTTGCTTTCCAGCAGTTGTGTCCGCTTCCTTTTCAACTTCACCTTATCGTGGGCCGTGGTTTACAACGTTGGCTTAACGTGTACCCTCTAAGGTTTCAGACAGGCCCGGGCCATCGCGGTGATGACCTGAAGTTGATACTGCTTGGGAAAGCCAAAGTCTCCCAGAGGGTCTCAGCTTTGTGCCAGGATTTCCATGCAACCTGAGAGTCTCCGGGCTAGGTCCAGACCCAAAGCGTCGTCTCCGGGGAGTCCCAGCCACCTCTCCAAGCCAACCCTAAGGGCTGCGACTTCACAACCGGAAACGCCTCCCTTTCCTGCCTCTGAGTCCTTCCCTAGGCGGACGAATCGCTGAGGAAAAGACGGAGGCCGATTAAGAAAATTAGCATTAATTCACCGGGCTCACCCTCCCGCCCAGGGCGGAGGGGCGGGACGTGCTGCGCGGGCGGCCGGAATGACCGACGGGCGCAGGTGTCTCTACACGCGGAATTTTACGCTCGCGGCCCCGCAGCTGCCCACTTGCGCCCCACGGTGCATCTGGGGCAGACGCCACCCGCCTCCTCAGCTTTAGGTAAACCTCTTTGAGGGAAAGAGGAAACGCGGCCCTCTGGACAGGAAAAACCTGCAGCGTCTGCGTTTCTTCGCGCGCCCACTCTTCCAGCCCGGAGCCCTGGCGTCTCCAGGGAGCCAGATCCGCTCTCCGGGTTTTAGCTGCAGCTGCGAGGGGAGCAAAGTGGAAATTGACAGAACGCGACCCTCCCCTTCTCCCACGAGCCCCGGCAGCGAAAGGCCCCGGGAACTGTGGCCGGCTAGAGCGGCGCAGTCAGGTGGCACCGCTCCCCTTCCCCCAGCCTCGGCTGCTCGCCGCCGCGCCGGAGCCTGGCACGGCTAGGTTGGCTTGGTGGGATCGGCGGAGGTGGGAACACGAGGTTTAGCGCGAGCGTCCCGCGGGCGGGGGGAGTCCTTTTGTCTGCGAGCACCCTACGGACCGCATCACCTCGGGACCCTCTTGGAACCCAGAGTCCCGCGATCTTTCTTTGTGCCCGGGGAGCAGAAAGAGGCTTCTCCTCCGAGAAAGCCACATCTCGGGAGGTGGCAGAGGGAAGAAAACAATGGGCTTCCATTGTCCTCCGAGGGCCCACCGGCCCCGCCGCCGCTGCTGACCCCTGCGCTTGCGCCAGGCGGCCGGGGGGGCCGAGGTACAGGTACCGCGGCGGGAGGGCCAGCCGGCGCCCGCGCCCTCCGCCCCGCCCCGGCCGGTCCGCCCCGCGCTCCCGGCCCCGCCCCGCGCCGCCCCGCCTCCTGCAGGTTCGGGGCTCGGGGCTGGCTGCCCAGTGCTCAGTCTGGTTCGCACCTTCTTCGATCGCGACCCAGCAGCGCGGAGCTGCGTAGAGGAGCGGCGGGGCCCCGGCAGGGCCAGCCTGGACGCCAACCTGGGGAGTCTTCACACCGTCCCCGAGCGGATAATGCTGTGAGCCGGCGCCGAGAGGGCCGACCCACTGGATCTGCGCGCACCGGCAGGCACTGCGTGCGCCGCGGCGGGCGTCGGTGCCGGCCGGCTGGCCCCGTGGTAGCGGCTGGATCCTTGGCGGCTGCTGGTGAGTCGGTGCCAGCCCTGGGCTCCTTCTCTACCTGAGTCTTTCCGACCCGCGGCCGTGGTTGCTTCCGGCACGCGCTGGTGTTAGGCTTGGAAACCTGCAGGGAGCGGGAATATCAAGGGCTTTGCCTGCTGATCTGGTGTCCGAGGTACCAAAGGGGACAGAAGGCAAACCTGGAGGGGGGTCGGGCAGCGCTACCAGGACGCTGGGCTCCACCATTTATGCCTATCACTTTTCAGGGTGGGGCTGTGCGGCTTCACTGCACCCTCCAAGCTATTGACAGAACCGTTCTGGGCGTGCGTTGCATTTTTCCATCTGAGAATAAACCGTACTTGGCTACCGCGCCCCTCGCGTGGTGGATTTGCATCAGGGCCCCACATGGGTGCACTGTGCAGACCTGCTATGGCATCGCCACCCCCCCTCCCGGTTGCTCTCCCCACTCTTTACGGAGGGCATTGTTGCTGGGGCTCCAACCTGTCGTTCTGGCAGTTGATTTTTTTCCCCCCTGACTGTGGTTTCTGAACAGCTGAAGCGTTTACAAGATTATTTTTTTTCTTTCTCCTTGAAACTGTCTTGACACAGACAAGTATCAGGCATGTGAGGACGAATGGATCTGGCCAGTCATTTTTTCGTTATGAATTATTATACTCCATCCCCCTCTCGCCTTTGGGAGGCATGTGTTTCATCTTATAAATAGAAAGTAGCATATTTTTTTGGCAGGACCTCCTTTATACAGTACAGTCTAGGAGAGGTCAGTTTAAAAATAAATATGCACTTGAATGTTACATTACCGAGAGCTGGGCTGTGGCTGGGACAGGCTTCGTGGACAGCAGCATCAAAGCCGGGAGCACAGCTGTGTTGAAAGGAGTAAAAGCCCCAGAGTGCAGCCCAGGCTGACAGTCAAGTAATTACATTTTCCTTTTTTTTTTTTTTTAAGTGAGTGAATTAAAATGAGGGCAGGAAGAGGAATGTCAGGAGGGTATTGCAACATGAATCTTTCCAGTCCTGGGTATTTGGGAGAGTGGGCTGCTGTGTGCTGAGTGTATAGGGGGCTCTGGGGAGGGAGCTGATGAATGTGTTAGGGAGACAGATTCCTTCCCCATCCCCCAGCTCTTAGTTCTCACAGTATCCCAGAGTTTCTTGGAGGTGCTGCCTTTGAAAAAAGGAAAAAAAAAAAATGAGGAGTGAAGCAGATGTCCCTGCTTTAATAGCAAAGACAGCCTGAGAGACTTAACCTAAACATCATAGGGAAGAAAAGCCTCACCAGGAAGCATCCAGGATGTATCAGAGGTATCCCTAAGTTGATTTAAAATACATGGAATATACTAACTTATAAAAGATCCTTCCATCTAACAACTAGGAAATGTAACTTCTTTTTCTGGATAGTTCCAGAAATCCCTTTGAGACCACCTGTAATTTGTATGGGCTTTTACTGGCAGCTAAACCCTTTCCCAAATAAAGCACTCAGAAATAAGGTGGGGCAGTTGTGAAATGTTTAGCACTGTCACATGTGAAATAAATGATAAAGATCATTTCTTTTTATAGTGCTAGGGGTGGAACCCAGGGCCTGGCACATGCCAGGCAAACACTCCACCACTTAGCTACATCCTTGGCCTGATAAAGATCATTTTCTGTATTTAAAGAACAGTTAAAAGTCCTTCACCAAGTCTTCCAAGGTAGGCTTTATCTATCCATCACATAAAACTGGACTACCAAAGTCCCTGCCCCCTGGCTCACAGATAAGAACTTTAGAGGAAATTTTTGAATGCATTTCTGGGTCCATGGCAATTTCTGTTTTGCAGTGGTGTCATCTGCTAGAGATTTACATTATGAATTCCATGATTGGAACATGGTGCTGAGGCTGTGGCAGCCCCAACAGACATGAATTAAGATGAACTCCCCCCTGAATCATTCTGAGCACTAAAATTCTGTTTTGTATCTCAATAGGACATGTAAAGGCAGCTAGAGTAATACGTAATACTTTTTTTCTTTTTGCTTTTTATTGCAAATTTAAATGTGGTGCAAGATGCATAAATTCAAAGCCTTACAACAAATGCACAAGGGCTCCCCTGAGCTAGTTTTCCCTGTCTGCTCTCCAGCTTTTCCTTTAATGTGGTGTTTTGTTTTATGTCCAACATGTTCACAAAAGCTGCCCTTTTTCACTTATAAAATTCCTGGTATTCAACAGTGTTGGGGATAAAGATACTTTAACCTATATCACCCAAAGATTTTTAGCAAGCCATAAAATTTTCACAAGCTCTTTGCCCATTAGCCATAGCATTTATCCTGTGGGTGGAACACAATTCACAACCTAAAAGCCTCTGGGAAGACTGCTCTGATTTTTTTTTTTTTTAAACAATTACATAGGCTTGTTCTTTCAGTTGATTTCATATAGGCCCCATCTAATTTTTTTTTTTTAACCAGAATCCTGTGGATCTGTTTTTCTTTTCATTGATTGAATAAGAGCTTAAAATCTATTTTAAGTGCAGTATGTTTATCAGAGAACAAGTATAGCCATCTGAAACTAGTAGATTCAGCCAGCCACAAAATCTCTACCAAGCTTGGAAGCCAGAATATTCTCCTAATACACGACTTTGTTCATTACTTTTGATGTTAAAAGTACTTTCTCCGTGAGGCTGGTCCTAAGTGCCAAGTGGTCATCTTAGCCCTTTACTTTGACAAACTCATTTATTGCCAACAATCATTCTATAAAAAAAGAACTGTTAATATTCCAATTTTACAGTTGTAGAGACTGAGAACAGATGGGGTACATAACTTGCCTAAAGTTATACAGCAAGGAACATACCTCCACATGTACATGCAGTTTAACAACACATGTGTGCTTGCGTGAGTGGGTAATTCTACATGAAAGTCCACAGCTCTTTGAGTTAAAGGGATGGGAAAGAACCGTGAAATTATTAGATAATGTAGGTCAGACTGCCTGGGTAGAGGGCCTGTTTCTGATACTTAATATTTATGTGTCTTTGGGCAAGCTCCTTAGCTTGTGTATCTCAGTTTATCAGTAGTAAAAATTATAATAATATCACCCTGAGGATTAAAGGAGTTGAATAACATAATGTACTCAGAACAGTGTCAGGCCTAGAGTAAGGGCACAACCATGATGTTTCATTGTTGTTTCTGTTGTTTTACTAAGGACTTGACACTATTTCTCTCATTTAACATTTTTCGAAATAGATGGTATAGTGCTTCTTTTCCTGATGAGACTATAGGCTCAGGACAGTTCAGTATTAGCCAAGGTCACATAGCTAAGTAAGTAGCAAAGTCAAGTTTGAAATCATGTGGATTTGACCTTGTATTGATACCATATCCCCAGCACCGGGGAGGAGGGGGAGCAGGGAAGTTACTAAATCTGATTATTGCTATAGCTTTTGGCCTCTGGCAAGGAACTCATTTTATATTACTCTCTATCTCACAGTGTCACCCCACAAAGGAAAATGACAATAATTGCTATCCTTAGGGAATACAGCATAAAGTATTTTATTAGAGATGGTCCAGTCCCATGCATAAGGCAACAGTGGTCTACAGCAGATCCAGCACAAAACTGCCAAAGTCGACACAAGCAGTTTATACAATGAATGAAGAGATTTACTAGGTAAAAAATGTAGGACTCTGGAATGAGAAAACAAGCCAGGCCACAGCCAGGGACAGGGAATTTCAGCAGCCAGGAAAAAAGTAGGTCTGTGTCTTTGCTTCATAGTTGGGGGTTGGAGGTCCAGAGGCCAAGTCTGGACAGCCACCATATCCATGAGGCCTGACCCAGCAGTCCCCAGCACTTGGGATGCTGAGCACATGTGTGGTCATGATATTGTCCTGGAGCTAAGGACAAGGCAGGAACCACAAGGAGGCTGGGCAGGAAGGCACTGGTCTCCATTCTGGGCAGAAGGGGGATTGGTAACAGTTCTGCACATGCCCTGCGTGCTGCCAGATAAACTTCTGGTGTGGAAGATAGAGCGAGGAGGCTTTGGGAGGAGTGTGCCTTGTACAGCCCCCCTGGCCTTCATCACCTTTGATGCTCTGAGTTTGTGATGAACTGAAAACCTGCGCAGGGGGCTGTGCAGACTGCAGTAGAGGTTCTGGAAGGGACAGGTTGCCCCCAAACCAAAAGCAATAGGCCTGGAGCTATCCTCTTCCATTTAGAACCTTCTCTTTTCCTTTCCCTTCCCTTTAGTCTGTAAAAGAAAACTACACCCCCTAAAACTGTAATGAATAAGTAGCCAAACAGTTCTATAGCAATAATCGGGTAGATCCTTCCTTAAGAAAATGCCTTCTTTGGCCTTTTCATATAGTTCAATGCCAAGTTTCTCCAGAGCTGCATGCAAATGAACTGAGTCTGACAGAACTTCTGGTGGAGAGGCAGTTTTAAAAATTTAACTCTACAGTTTTCTACTATAAAGCATGACACTGGATATTTTAAAAATTACTGTTTCTAAGTAGTCAAGTCAGTGAGTTCCAAACTAGTGTTCACTTGGTTCTTACTGCTTGCCTAAGTCATGCATTAATAGTAGAACTCTAGAATCCCAAATTTAAAATGTTAAAAATAAAGGATTGTCAGTGATTTGGAAATGATTTGCTATTTTGAGAAAGATAGGATTTGCTTTCTAGTTTTTAGCTCTTTGTTGCAAGTATGGCAGTGGTCAC